GCCACAGACAACATCAACCGACACTGTCTCACCTGAAACCACCTCACCTACGTCCACTACGGTAGTTAATCACCATCCCATGCAAACCCGTGCTAAGTCAGGAATTTTTAAGCCTAAAACCATTTTTAATTTAAGTACAGTTACTATCAATGCAGATCCTACCTGTTTTACTGAGGCAAATAAACAATTAAAATGGCGTGAGGCGATGGCTGATGAATTTAATGCACTCATTAATAATAATACGTGGGACTTGGTGCCCTTTGATAACTCTAAAAATATTGTTGGTTGTAAGTGGATTTATAAAACTAAATATCATTCTGATGGATCCTTAGAGCGCCATAAAGCTCGATTAGTTGCACAGGGTTTTAATCAGCAGGCAGGTATTGATTTCTCTGAAACTTTTAGTCCTGTCGTTAAACCCACCACTGTTCGTATTGTACTTACTCTAGCTATTTCTTTTGGGTGGGGTATACGACAACTTGATGTTAAAAATGCCTTCTTACATGGGAATCTGACAGAAGAAGTTTATATGCGGCAGCCCCGTGGTTTTATTCACCCTCACTTTCCTAATCATATATGTCGTCTGCGCAAGGCCATTTATGGCCTTAAGCAAGCTCCACGAGCCTGGTTTCATAGATTTAGTAGCTTTCTTCTACAACATAATTTTTCCTGTAGCAAATCCGACAATTCTTTGTTCATATACCGCCAGAATAATACTATTATTTATTTATTACTATATGTGGATGATATTATTATTACTGGCAATTCTGAATTCTCTGTTACCCAATTTATTTCAATTATATCTAAACATTTTGCTATGAAAGACTTGGGTAATCTCCATTATTTTCTGGGTGTTGAGGCCATTCGTTCAGCTAAAGATTTGTTTCTCTCTCAACATAAATATGTTACTGACCTTCTAGCTCGTTTTCATCTTCATACTGTCAAACCTGTTCGCACCCCGTTAGCTTCCCGTACCACTCTGTCTCTTTCTGATGGTGAGTTATTATCTGATTCTACTGAGTATCGCAACATGGTTGGTGCATTACAATATTTAACTTTGACACGGCCAGATATTACTTATGCAATACACTTAGTGTCTCGGTTCATGCATGCTCCTCGTACCACTCATCTTTTTGCAGTCAAAAGAATTTTCAGATACTTGCAGGGAACACGAGATCATGGACTTTGGCTTCAGCAGTCTAATCGGCCAACCTGTATAGTTGCTTACTCCGATGCAGATTGGGCAGGTTGTCCTGATAGTTCTCGGTCTACCACAGGTTTTGCTGTATTTTTGGGCCCTAATTTGGTTTCCTGGAAGGCTAAGAAGCAGCCCACTGTGTCCAAGTCCTCCACAGAAGCGGAATATCGTGCCATTGCTTACACAGTACAAGACACGCTACATATCCGCTCAGTCCTGTTCGAACTTGGATGGCCTATCTCCGAGCCGGTACATTTATTATGTGATAATATATCTGCTTCTTACTTGACTGCAAATCCAGTTCAGCATGCTCGCAGTAAACATATTCAGATTGATTATCATTTTGTTCGCGAACGGGTTGCTCATGGAGATCTGATTGTTCAACATGTTCCTACTCATCTACAGCTGGCAGATATTTTTACTAAAAGTCTATCTAGTCAACGTTTTCATTTTTTGAAAGACAACCTGTGGGTTGTATCTCCCGCACAGTTTGAGGGGGTGTAATAGAATTATTATAGACTTAGTATTGTACTTTACATTAAACTCTCTCTAATATAAATATATCTGCCAGGGCTCCTCAGAGAGTAACCTTTTCCATTATTTCACACATAACAGAATCTGAAATTTACAATTGTGACAATAGAACTTAGTACATTGAGGTATTCTTATTAAGGCATAATAATTAAGTTATCATCGTCAATTTTTCTAATAATAAAAATAATACATTGGGGGCATTGAATGCCACGCGGTTTATATTAGTGAGGTGGAGATGATCAAATTAAAAGAGCTCACAAAAGCAATGCACAAAAACGGGGAGTAAATGCTCTTTGCTGTCCTGCATTGACTTTTTCATTTTTTATTATTTTTTTATGAGTGGCCCCTTTTCACAAACCGAATGTGATTCTGATATATTTTGATAAATGAATTTGAAATGCTATTTTCAATTACGTTTATTCCATATTACTTTTTTTAATTTTTGTTTTAAAATGTTACCTTATAATTAGCATTTACACCTTTTTTCAGTTTTTGTTGGGGTGAGTTAGAAAATTATATACTCCAACTTGTTGTCTCGATCACACCCTCACGTGTATTACAGTGCTGTAGTAGGACTTTGAGGTTAACAACTTCCGTACTTTTTTTAGGAGTACTTCCTAAAATTTGTTGTTTATACAAATTACTTTTTTTTTACATTTTAGGCATTAAGTCAACGTTTTTGTTATTATTTTATAAAATTTTAAAATAAATATGTTCCTAACAAAAATAATTAACCCTAATTCCAATGTAATCTCCACGATTAAATTAAAAGAGGCACGATTTAATTTGTAGGGGTACTTAGTAAAAACAATATTATATTTTTGTAACTTTAAACGGTGAAAGAAATTATTAACGTAAAAATAGGGTATGTACTTGATGTAAAAAAGACAAATCTTATAGGAGATATTACCCGAAATATGACTAAAACAGTTTGAAAATTTCAAAATAGGACTGTTGTCATGTTTTTATTCTCAAAATAAGATCACTTAATGTCATATTTTGGCAGTACCAGACTTCAAACATGTTAGTATTTTCTAAATATGACAGTAATTAGTCCTATTTTGGAAATAAAAAACATGACAGTCCTATTTTGAAATTTTGAAACTATTTTAGTCCTATTTGGGAAACTTTCACATCTTATAAATGGCATTTCACATCGAAAATTTTAAATTCAAGAATTGTCTGAGTGATTACACACACATATATATTTATTTAGTTTATAACTTTATATATGTAATAAAATAATGATACAACATATAATTATAGAAAATAATGATACAACATAAAATACACAAAATTTATTCATACTTTTCACTTCATTAAAATTCTAGCAAAAACATCAAACCTATTGTATAAAACATCAAGTAAGTTGTATTTTTGGGACAGCTAATTTTATGTAACGAAAAATGGTTTCGTTTTGCAATACTGTACATAAATTATTAATTCTAAATATGATTTATCATAACTATTTATTAAATAAATGGGAAAAAGACTTTAATAAAATATTACTACTATTTGGTCCAGAAAATTAAAAAATAATTCTAACTTAAGACATTATATTTGTTAAACAAACTACTCCGTAGTATAGTATATTCCAAAAAAATCTGAACATATTTTCATAAGAAATTAGTTTATTACGCGGTCTTAAACATTATCAGGGTTTGCTTGTGAACTGAAATTTATACTATCAGCTATATCGTCCATATATAAGTTTAGTGGAGGACCGGGTCTGAGGCAAGTGCCCCGCTTCCGACCCCAAAGTTTAGTATTAGTAGATAAAAATTGTACCCCGCTGCCCGAACAAAAAAAAAGAAGGTTTCAATAAATATTACTGAAATATAACTAATGAACAAAAATATTACTATAATTATTATGCATAGTCATTATACTGATATTGTTGAACACAATCATGATCACTATAATTACTATGGTATTTATTAAATCATATTTCTGTCCACAATCTTTATTTAAATCATATTGTCAGTATTTCAAAAAACTACGTAGTATTAGATATATTGGACTCCGTCAAAGACATATAACAATTATAGTAAGAAATATAAACAAGCATAAAGTTGTGATGGAGCAAATCCTTATAGTTATATTAGACATGTTGTACTGTTGATATGGTTACTACACTTTGTTTGAAAAGTGGCATTGTAATTTTTTTACTTAGGGCGAATAATGTTTGTTCAAAGTTAATAATCAAAGATATGACAAGAGTTCTAATATGTGGGATGAACTTAATAGATTGAAGACTTTTAATTTTCTTGAATAAAAGTCCATACATGAAAAATGTGTCATTTCGCGATAAATTAGTTTCAAACTGACATGCCCTTTGAATTTTTTATCTTTAATTTGATAAAAGTTAGACATATAGAATCATATTATTAAATAAAGTTGTATTGAAGGATGAAATCATAAACTTGATTTATACTTCATTTTTAACACGATAGTATTATAATTCAGACAAGTACCAACAAATTTTGTGGCACAATGTGTAGCATTCGACATGATCCTAGTTTAGTCTTGAAATCTTGATCATTTAATAGTATGAAAGATTATGAAAATTCTAATGTAAAATCAGAAATGGCGCAAAGATGAATCATTTCTAATCCAAATATGTCTTTCTTTCAAAAAGCTAAGCCAATTCAAATATTATCGTTTAGAATTGTGTTAATGAGTTCAAAATTAGACTCATAATCCATATGTTCATTGTTTGAAGTCGACATTGGTTTACTATTTCCAATTAAAAATAATAATCTGAATGCACTTGACAAAAAAGACCAATGATACACCCGATTCGACCGACCCAACCCATTTCCATATATGCGGGAGTGCCCCGCTTTCGAAAACTTCTGAATCCGCCACCGTGTAGGTTATCATTAAGAACATTCTAATTAATTAAAATCGAACTACGCCTCTGACGATCATATTTGTATTTTACAGAGATTACTAATTATTTCTATATACGAAATATTTAAAGAGTTCATCTGTCAATAATTAAATATAATTTGTGACCGAAGTTCAAATTACATTGTTTTTAGTTGATAGACAATATAGTTACTATGATGTTACTATTATAATTACTAGAAAGTCACATATTGTAAACAACATTTATTTAAATTATATATGAACTATTTGTATTATTTCTTTTCTTTGTCATGTTAATATATTAAAAATACCATTTTAACCATCTTAATCTTTAATTTCCGATCCCCAACCTGGCCATTATGAAGAACCGTTCCTCTCTTATCAAAAATAAAAAAGAACCCTTCCTCTCTCTCTTCCCTATATATGTATATGCGTAGACAAGTTCCCCCATGCCTTTTACGCAAGTCAAACCATTTCTCTCTAAACAAGAGAAGAAAAAGAGTAATCAGATAAGAGAGTAGCTAGAAAAATATAGAAAGTTCAGTCTTTAATTAGTGAACCTTTCTTTCTTGAAATAGCTTGAAAGAGAGGGTTTATCAAGAAATGGGAAGGCCTCCATGTTGTGATAAAATTGGTGTGAAGAAAGGGCCATGGACTCCTGAAGAGGATATCATTTTGGTTTCTTATATTCAAGAACATGGTCCTGGCAATTGGAGATCTGTTCCTACTAATACTGGTAATTAATTATTCAATTATCTCTTCCACTTTACATGTTGTTGTCATTATTCAGTAGATCTTAATTAAGTTATATGTACTTTAATTTAAGTTTTTTTTTCTCTCACAATCCAATTTCAATTCTACTAAGTATGTTTAACAAGTACATAGTAGTATGATATTTGAATTAGATTTTTGCATCTTAATTAGTACAACTTTTAAAGATCAAAAGGAGGAAATTATTATCTTGAATTGAAATTATCCCTTAATCATTTAGACGGAAAGAGTACTATTAATTTCAAGTTATTTCATGCTTTATGGGTGCTTTTTTTCTTTTAGGGTTTCTGGTAGGTTCGGTTCATTAAAACTGGCACTTAATACTCACCCAACTACTTACTTCTTTATCAGGCCAAGTGGAAGGACCAACAAAATTTAAAATAAAGATGATAGGATATAGTCTTATCATGTTCTTTTATTATCTTTCTATTTTGATTTTTTTTACCACAAAAAAAGTCATTAATAACTGGTTTTTGGGATGTTTTATTGTTTATACTGCAGGTTTGCTCCGGTGTAGCAAAAGCTGCCGGCTCCGTTGGACTAATTATCTCCGTCCAGGTATCAAGCGAGGGAACTTCACCGAACAAGAAGAGAAGATGATCATTCATCTCCAGGCACTTCTTGGGAATAGGTCAGTATACACAAAAACCCTATATTCATTGAGCTCTAAGGATGTTTTTAAGGAGGTGAACTAAGTTTGGTCTTATAATTATCTGGTCTCTTGTAATTTACCACTGTTGAGGTCTGGTCTGGTGTGATCCATTTAAGTCCGGTCTGATCTGATGTCATCTATTTAAGTCTGGTCTGGTATCGTTTCATAATTGTCTGGTCTCTAGTATGTTACAAATGTCGAGGTGTGGTCCAATATATTAAAATTTGCATTGAAATTAATTTGGCCTCCGATTGAAATAAATCTAAGTAAAATCATCTTAATAAAATAGAAATAGCAAAAATCTTTAATTTGTTGCCAAATGGTCTTTAGTTATTAGTAATTGTCTAGTTCTAGTTGTAATTAGGTCTAGATCTAATGTTTTTCTGTCCCAGATCAACAGTATTGGTATAAGACATTATTTTCCTCATTCACTATAGTAGTAATAATTACAGAAAGACATAAAATTTTGCAAGATGTAATTAAACTCCATGAAAGCATCTCCAGATCTGGCTAGGGTTATAGGACTGTATAGTACTGTATAAAATTAATTATTGAAGATGTTTTTTGTTGTATATGATAATTATTAGGAGCGAAGAAAGTGAAAACAAATCAATTACGTAGTATTAATTAACACTTCGCTCTTAATCACAATCATTATTAGTTGAAAAAATTTTAAAAACTCAATTATTATTTTAGACTTCGCTCGAACACAATTTAAGGTTGATTAATTATGTCAATTCATATGCATTCAAGATCGATTACGTCAATCCTTATACATTTATGGTTGATCAAAAGTCAATTCTTATACACCTACGTCTTTTAGGGAACGGTTTCATGATGATGAGATAATAATGAAAAAGAAGAACCATGTTCTCCTACTCCAAATATTAATAATATAATATCCTATTTTATGTGTCATATTTGCTATGATAAGGTGAAATATCGTAAATCTCATTTATCTATCCAAACAAGGAGATATATTAAAATGAAAGTATATATATTAGGTAAATATATTTAAGTAAAATGAAAGTATATATATTAGGTAAATATCCTTTATTTTGGAACAACACAAAAATGAAAGTAAAATAGGTAAAATGAAATGAGAGTAATTAAGGCTACGTATGATATATATTAGTAAATATATTTTTTTTTTACCGGTGGGCGTAGCTCAACTGGTAGCAAGGGAATGTCACAAGGGTTAGGTCCCGGGTTCGAATCCTGTCAACTGCGATGAGGGGTTACTATGCTAAAATTGAATAGGGCATCTGCAAGTACTGGAGACAGAGCATCACTCTCTATCTGTCAGATTGGGATTATAGTCCAATTTACATCCTCCCAACGTACCGTCTGATCGGGATTGGAGGGCCCTCCAGGATTCCCAACGTACCGTCCGATCGGGGTTGGAGGGCCCTCAGGGATGGGGTGTCATCCTTTTTTAGTAAATATATTTTTTGATCTCAGAATAATTAGAATAAATAAATAAATTACTCAGATCACTAAGTATATAATGTTTGACACGAGAGCATTAAATTGACATTTCATGGTGAAATGGTGCGTCATGTGTTATTGTCATTGCATTAAATTAAATCTCATGGTGAGGTGGTGCGTCATTAATTTGTCATAAATAAAATTTACTGAGTAATAATAGATCACATATATTAAATTTTATATACTACCTATGAATACTACTCTGTCTAATTTAATTTTAAGATATATTTTTCATTTTGGATTGTCCATGAATAGTTGCTTTTTCAATAATAACACATCTTACTTTAGGTTATTTTTTGGAGACTAGATTTAATTTATAAAACAACACCTTTATCTTTTATTTTCTTATAACTTGTGTAAAATTCACATATATCTTATGCGATGTTATAATGGTATCTTATACGTAGTATTATGGGAAGGACGTAGTATAAAAACTGATGTAGCATTTCACCTTGACATGTTATCACTCCACACATTAGACACATATTTACGCACCGAATATGAGTACAATGTTTATTTCTCGAAACAAGATGAAGTCATCCTATTGGTATTAACATGGCATTGATTAATACTCCTTCCGTCCCAATTTGATTTGTGGAATTTCCTATTTTGGTTATCCCAAAATGGTTTTTTCACTTTCTATTTTATGTATTTAAATAAGTATAAAGTGACAAATTTATCTCTATTTTTAATTTTTCTCATTAACTTAAAAGACGTCTACATTTAGGAAGGTGGACAAAAGTGTAAAAAGCAATCAATCATTTATTTTCATTTTTTAATCTTTGTGCTAGTCAAAGTTTGCAATTAAATTCGTGACTTAATAACTATTAGTGATTATAATTGTGTTTAAAGTTTACATCATGTACCCACTCTGAACATAATTATATGATGTAAACTTTGAGCATAATTAGAGTCACTAATAGTTACCAAATCATATTTTTGTCCATGTCTTTATTATTGGTAATAACATAATTAACATTTTTTTTATTTGAATCATGACAGTAATTAGGAAAAATTGTACAACATAATACTTTTATTTTTGAATTTCAGATTATGTTTACTCTTATTAAAGACAATATTATTATATCGGAAAAGGGCCAAATAAGCCCACGTGCTAACAAAAAAGGCAAATAAGCCCTTATATAGGAGGCTATGTCCGGCCGTCGCCATTTGGAGCAGTTCCCGGTGGAATTATTTGATGAAATTTTTTGAGAATCTTATTCATTAAGTCTAGTTTACTCATACCAAATTTCAGCTAACAATTCAATTGGGAAGGCATTCAAATAAATTCGTGAATATAATTGCGCTTTTAACTGCGTAGTTATTTTCAAGAATTGAAGTTTTAGCTGAAATTGGGTATAAGTAAACTAAATTTAATGAATAATATGTTCAAAAAATTGCATCAAAAATTTCCACCGGAAACCGCCGGTGACGGCCGGACAGAACCTCCTATATAAGGGCTTATTTGACCTTTTTTGTTAGTACATTCGCTTATTTGCCCTTTTTCTCTTATTATATTAATTGATTAGAAGCCATATTTATTAGAAATGTACTTCCATGTGGTATGGGATAAGTCCAAATTTGTATTTGATGTTTTTGACATTTTTGTTTGTTATGGGTGCAGATGGGCAGCCATAGCTTCATACCTTCCTCAAAGGACAGACAATGACATAAAGAATTACTGGAATACCCATCTGAAGAAGAAGCTCAAAAAGAACCAAGGCGTAGATGAGAACGAGACTACCCAAGATTACGGCAGTAACCATAATTCCTCATCATCTTCTCACCAAGCAATCTCAAAGGGGCAATGGGAGAGAAGGCTCCAAACTGATATCCAAATGGCCAAACAAGCCCTCTGTGAGGCTTTATCCATTGACAAATCCAAGGCCGCCGCGGCCGAATCCCCGAACCAAGCGGCTAACCCGCAGGCCCCGCTGTCCGCCCCCTACGCCTCAAGCACTGAAAACATTGCCAGACTGCTGGGGAACTGGATGAAAAACTCGGGCCGGAACAATACATCCCCAGCCCGGTCCAACTCGGAGACGGTCACAACCCAGACCGGGATGGCCGGTTCGAGCTCTAGCCCGAGTGAGGGCAACTTTGATCACTCAATCTTCAGCTTCAACTCGTGCAACAACTCGGACGTCGTGTCCCAAGCAGTGTCAACCGTTGACGAAAACGGCAGCGTTTTGCAGGTGGAGAGTAAGCCGAACTTCACACCCGTGGTACCTCCCTTCCAACCCGGAGCGAGGCCGATGAGCAGCGGGGCCGGTGCTGAGACACAAATGCCCCTGACCTTGCTGGAGAAATGGCTCTTTGATGATGCTGCATGCAATGTTCAAGCACAAGATGAATTGATGATGAGAATGGGAGTTGACTTGGGTATGCCCTTAGGTGAAACAGCTGAGTTGTTTTGAAGTCATATATACAACACCAACATACATATATGCAAATATATATGCAATGTGTGTGTATATATGTCTTCCAAACAACTTCTATATATCATAGTTTACTTTTTACATTTCTATATATATCTTAATTAGGATTTGAAACTATATATACACATTATTATCCTAGGGGTTACTTAATTAGTTAATTATAAACGCTGGCCTAGAGCAGCAACTACTTCTGCTACTGGATAAAAAATGTATATTAAGATGATGTTTTTTATTTATTAGTCTCTATATCAAGTATATATAGTGAATGGGAATAATACATGGATCCGAGACCTTTTTTCTGCAGCAATGAGTATAATTTAGCTTTTAGAACTAGTGCTAATTATGGTCATACGGAGTAGTACTTTAGTAGTCAACACTTCCATAATTCTTTCCGTGTAGAGATACACAAGTGGGGTAATCAAGTTGCAGGCCCGTTTTTTAGGGGGTTCAATAGGTTATCCAGAACAGGGCCAACGAATTTATAGGGCTCCAAATTTTTAAAATTTTATTAATTTTATATAGTAATATTATATATTAATACTAATCGTTGGTCATTTTACTCTTTTAGTTCTCTTCTAATCAGTCGTCTATTGATTTTAGTATAAGTATTTAGATTGAGATTTTTTTTAATATTTTATAGAAATGTGGAGCCCCAATTTTACATTTTGAATCGGGGTCTTCAAATTCATTAGACGGCTCTGTCAAGTTGTGTATGATGTAATTCTTCTCAAAAAATCTCTTAACTCAAGACGGATTAAATATTGCAAACGAGTCCTTTGAATGATATCAAAACACTTTTTATCATCAAAATTAAACCTTTTGAATGGAAACTTGTATTTTGAACAATGTCTCTAGACTTTGTCACAAAGTCCCCACTTTACCTCAACTAGGTGGAGATCCAATGCATTGTATGAAATGACATTAAAAACAAACTGAATTTATTCTGGGATAAAAGTATAAAACACGGAAGCAGTTGTCTTCCCAACGGAGTATCCTTTTTATTTCTAAGCTCCCTCTTACGTAGTTCTTTCACTTCTTCGTGCTCAGCTTTGTGTCTTGTAGAGCGCCTAAAGTTGTAACAGTTTGACTTTCACATTTATCGATGTACAAATTTGATTGTAGTTATCTGGAATTATGTATTAGTAAACATTAAAAAAAGTTACTCCATCCGTCCCAATTTGATGGTCCTATTTCTTTTGGGCATAAGTTTTAATAAAGTGATTGAAAATGTAAAAGTTGTGCTTGAGATTTGAGTATAATAAAGTGAAATGATATGAACCACATCTTTCTTTCCAAAAAAGGAAACAGAACCATCATTTTGGAATATCCCAAAAAAGAAATACAGGACCATCATTTTGGACGGAGGTAGTAGTATTTTGGAAATTTACATTAATAGAAATTTTGATTATAAATACTATTAAAAAATCATAGTCAAAGTAAGATGTGTGAATAGTGCAAAAATCTTAATGATGCAACTTTTAAAGAACGGAGGAAGTACTAAGTAGTACTACGTAGCTATTTGGTAGGGGGCCGGGATCTCCTAATTCATTTACACGTCTCGTTTTGTCTTTAGATAGACAATTTTTTTAATTTTTTAAGGTGAGTTGTCTGCGCCACAAATAAAAAAATGTCTGAATTTGTATATACGAAGTATATAGCACATACAATTCACCGTATGAACGAAAAAATATTATTGACAAAACCGAACGTGTAAATGGCCGGTATGTAAGGGCGTAAGGCTTTCGGCGTGCAGAAGGTATTTCTCATAAAGTTTTCTTAGTCATAAAAGGAATGTGATTAAGGATGTTTTTACTTGGACTGTAATTTGCTGGTTTGGTCTGGTCTTGTCTGGTCTGATCCTGTCTGGTCTGGTCTGGTCTGGTTTCTTTGTATTTTTATAACTATCCAAGTCTGGTCTGGTCTGGTCCGGTCTGATCTGGTGTTATCTGGTCTGGTATGGTCTGGTCTGATCTGGTCTGGTTTGGTTTGGGAGACATTACAGTCCAAGTAAAAACATCTTAAGAGTGCCTTAGGAAAATAACTTCTTATATAAGTGGCTTCTTACTTATACGGAGTTTATATAAGTCTGTGACTGTATTATATACGGAGTTTATTTTAATTTAAAACATCCTTCCTTCTTTAAAAAACTTTTTAAAAACTAACTTCATTTATTATTAAACATAAAGAAATTGTTTTAATCTTTGAGTGAAATCTTTGTCAATAAGTGTGCTCTGTTTAATATTAATAGAAATGCTAGGTGTACCCCATTTTGTGTATCTCATTCACACACATTGGCTGTTTACACAGACAGAGTTATCCATAAACAGCCAATGTGTGTGATGAGGCTATCTTTGCTGACTGTTCGGAACTACAAAGTCGTTATAGATAATTCTGTCTGCGTAGATAAACATGTGTGCGAATGGGGTACACGAAATGGGGTACCCTAGCATTTCTCTAATATTAATACTTGAGCAATACAGTCCTTCACTAGCTGGTTCTATGATGAGGTCTAGTATTTATCACCACGCTGGTTTTAGATTAATACCGTTCTGATATGACCAGTTCTTCATACATGTGCGTACTTTTATACTCCCTCCGTCCCGAATTGAATTGCAAACTTTGATCGGCACAAGGATTATGGAATGATAATAAATGATGCTTGCTTTTTACACTTTTGTCCATTTTTAAAAAAGTAGATGTCTTTAAGTTAATGGAGAAAAAGTAAAAGTAAGGGTAAATTTATTCTTATTTACATATCTAAAATAGAAAGTGGAAAATCATTTTAGGACAACCAAAATAGGAAATTTTGCAAATCAAATTAAGACCGAGGGAATATGTATCTGATCTTGAGGATAGTTCACAAGACAGTTGTGGCAACAATTGTATGCCATCAACAAAACATGATGTCTCGTTTCAAACTTTCGCAACAAAATATAATATGGAGTACGGAGTATAACATTATTGTTTATATTATGCTTATATGGTACCATATGGTTCTTAGGTTGTTTCAATATAAGGTTTTCTTAGATTGTTTCAGTATATCTTCTATAACCATTGATGGAGTATATTCCCGTACCCCAAGGGTATCATAATCGCTGGTATAAAGCATCACGGATCCATTTCGGAGTGCACGAAAAAAATAAGTCCGCGGCTATACCGACTCCGACCCCGACCAGTAAGGGTCGGAAACAAGCGCCAGTCACCAGAACAAGCTAAGGACCGAGAAGTTGCCCGACCCCGACCTCGACCACCGGGTCGGGAAAATACCAAGCTCAGGAATCGATCAGACTCGACCAGTTATGAGCCCGACCTCGAGATGCCCGAGCTCGGCACCAAGTCTGATCTCGGGAGTCAAACGCATGGTCAGCATGCACCAGACAGATGACTACCTCAAAGGCGAGAACAAAGGACAAATGGGCGAGTCCTCTCATCACGAGCCCGAGCTCCCAGATATCGACCTCATTAATCTCCAAGGTCTCAATAAAGCGTCGTGGACTTGGACAAAATCCGCAAGGACTTGCCGCACAAGGGGGTGTCGCCATGTCACCATCAACACCAGGGAACATTCCTAGTTACCCACGCGTAGCCACACGGGATCTCTGACAGCAATCCTGTTAAAAGCAATCCCCAATCAGCCATCTATTGAAGATTCTCTCTCCAATCTGCTTTACACGCGGCTGCTCCCCATCGAATTAGGCTGTTGGTTTCTTAGAATAGCTTTACACGTGTCCCTCTCCTATTAGTTTAGCATCTTTTTGCTTGGGCACCAAGTATTGCCTTTTATCTCCTAGTATAAATATCACCTTCCAACTTGTGGACAGGGATGCTTGCTTAATGCTTGATGCTTAATCTATCGCACTCTTAGTACTCATATACTGCTATCCTGCCGGATCAAGTACTGTCATTTTCCGATCAGTTCACTCTCCCCTTTACTCTCATTTTAGTTGGATTCCGGCCACCCCTGGTCAGATAATCCATCATTTTTTGGTGCTTTCATTGAGAGCTGAACTGTCAGCAGGTCTGATCCTCCCGCACTTTTTCCAGATCTATCGTGAACTCCTTCTCGACAATGGCTGGAAAGAAAACTCTGAGAACCCGGCGCGCTGCTGCCGTCGTCGCCCAGGTGGAGCCCTCGCTGGAAGCTACTGCTACTTCTGGTGTCAGAAGGGCCGCCATGGAGAAACAAACTGTTGGAACTTCCGCTGATCTGCTTAACCAGATCCAACGTGCTTCCCTAGATCTCCGTCAGCAGATCTCGTTGAACCGTGATGCAGCGGCAATGCCGCCCGCGCAGGTGATTCCACAATTCCAGAATTTTCTAATGGCGGATCCCTCTGCCGCCCGCCCTCATCTCCAGGTTGTAGCAGGTGCTCCCCACGCAGCAATTTCAGCCAGCAACTGCTGCGATTCAGTCGACTACTCCTGTGGCTCTTCGTGTCACTAGGCCCATCTCACCGGCGAACTCCAGATCCCAATCTCTGAGAGTAGGCTCTATTGATGCCCCTCTGGTGGTAGATAGGCCAGCACAGATGGTCTATCAATCTCCCCCCTTGTCAGAGGGCGACTCCGAGGATTTACTCTCCGCCGATCTGTCAGGTGGCTTCTGCAGCACTCTGCAGCACCTGTGAACGTTGCGCCCCTCGCGCAGCAGGCGGGGACTTCTCGTCCCGTTGCGGCACCACGAAGGATGGCACCATCACCACCTCCTGTATTGCCGTCCAAATACATGGCACGCCGTGTTGATCACGGCTGCCACAATGATGAAGGTGTCTATGCTATCACCACTGAGGACTCCTCACAGTCCATTTCCCCGCAGGGACAACAACAAGACGACAACCCCAATCCCTGGATCGAAGTGGGAAGGCATCCCAGTTCTCGACATTCCCCAGTTCTCGACATTCCCCAGCAACAACAGGAACGACCGGGGAGAATGACTCCAGAGCGCGTACCCGCTTTGGAGAGGCTAGGGGGCAATCATTCCCCTAGATTCGCCCCCCCCCCCCCCCCCCCACGCCACCAACCGATGCCTTCTCCCCCAAGGCAGCCACGTGCTTCGCCACCGCGGCCACAACAACAACCGCAACAACCCCTGCGCCAGCTAAGGCTCTACCCGCCAAGACGGCAGGTTGGATCTCCACCATGGCGCCAGCCCCAGGTGGATACTAGAGAGGAATAGATCCACCTCCTGACTCAGTAGGTTAATGAGTTGCGGGTTGCAGCTGTCACAGCGGTACCGCCACCGCCTCCCCAGCACACGGCGCGAGATGCTCAATTGGAAGCGCTAGCGCTCCAGGTCCAACAAC